GCTGCTCCCTCATCATCTTGCCCAGCTCCTTCTTGCGGTCCTTGAGCTCGTCCTCCACCCTGTCCATCCTCTTCTTGTCCTTGTCGATCTCGCGGTTCTTCAGCCCCAGCTCCTTGTTGAGCTTCTCGATCTCGGCCTCGTTGTGGAACAGCTTGAAGAGCTGGAGCTGCACCTGCGCCCGAACCACCTCGTCCTTGAGCCGCTGGTACCGGTCAGCCTGGCATGGGGGAAATGGGGGAGAGGCCTGGTTTAGCTCAGGGGCTTCTTAAACCTGGGATAGACCTGGTTCTGCTCAGAAGAGGGCCTGGTTCTGGCTGGTACTGGTCAGCCTGGGGAAAATGGGGGTGAGAGGGGGTCAGGGCTGGGTCTGGCCAGGAGCTGCTCAAAGCTGGGCCTGGTTCTGCTCAGGGGCTTCTTAAACCTGGGCCAGGCCTGGTTCTGCTCAGGAGCTGCTCAAACTTGGACCTGGTTCTGACCAGGGACTGCTCAAAACTGGGCCTGGCTCTGGCCAGGAACTTCTCAAACCCAGGACTTGGACCTGGTTCTGCTCAGGAGCTTCTTAAACTTGAGATAGGCCTGGCTTAGCTCAGGGGCTGCTCAGAGCTGGGCCTGGTTCTGGCTGGTACCGGTCAGCCTGGAGGAAAGGCAGGTGAGAGGGGATTTGGGCTGGGTCTGGCCAGGAGAGGCTTAAATCTGAGCCTGGTACTGGCCAGGAGCTTCTTAAACCTGGGATAGACCTGGTTCTGCTCAGGAGCTGCTCAAAGCTGGACCTGGTTCTGCCCAGGGACAGCTCAAACTTGGACCTGGTTCTGGCCAGGAGCTGCTCAGAGCTGGACCTGGTTCTGGCCAGGAACTTCTCAAACCCAGGGTTTGGGCCTGGCTTTGCTCAGGAGCTGCTCAAAGCTGGACCTGGTTCTGCCCAGGGACTGCTCAGAGCTGGGCCTGGTTCTGCTCAGGAGCTGCTCAAACTTGGACTTGGGTCTGGCCAGGAGCTGCTCAAAGCTGGACCTGGTTCTGCCCAGGAGCTGCTCAGAGCTGGGCCTGGTTCTGCTCAGGAGCTGCTCAGAGCTGGGCCTGGTTCTGCCCAGGGACTGCTCAAACTTGGACCTGGTTCTGNTTTGGGCCTGGTTTGGGGTTTTTATGCCTGTTTTGGGGTTCATGCCCAGTTTTGGCTTCTGTGCCCAGTTTTGGGGTTTGTACCCAGTTTTGGGGTTTGGGCTCAGTTTTGGGTTCTGTGCTTGGTTTTGTGGTTTGCGCCCATTTCTGGGGTCTGTGCCTGGTTTTGGGATCTATACCCAGTTTTGGGGTTTCTATGTCTGGTTTGGGGTTTGGGCCTGGTTTGGGGTTGGCTGCATCCTCCCCTTCCCATTCTGGAGCCCTTCCCCTATGGAGACAAACTGGGCAAACTGGGATTCTCCAGCTGGGATTGTCCAAGATTTGGAATCACCTGGTCTGTGAAGGTGTCCCTGCCCATGAAACCAGGTTTTAAACCTGGATTTTAAATATTCCAACCCAAATAGTTCCAGGTTTTCCCACCCAAACCATTCCAGGGTTTTGGATCCCCTCAGCCACAGAGACAGGCTGGGATTGTCCAAGATTACAAAACTGGGATTGTCCAAGATTTGGAACCACCTGGACTGGGAAGGTTCCCTGCCCATGAAACCAGGATTTAAACCTGGATTTTAAATATTCCAACCCAAATATTTCCAAGGTTTTGGAGCCCCTCAGCCACAGAGACAGCCTGGGATTGTCCAAGATTTGAAAAACTGGGATTGTCCAAGATTACAAAACTGGGATTTTCCAAGATTTGGAATCGCCTGGTCTGTGAAGGTGTCCCTGCCCATGGAACCAGGATTTAAACCTGGTTTTTAAATATTCCAACCCAAATAATTCCAAGGTTTTGGAGCCCCTCAGCCAGAGACAGGCTGGGATTGTCCAAGATTTGGAAAGCTGGGATTGTCCAAGATTTGGAGCCCCCTGATCTGTGAAGGTGTCCTTGCCCATGAAACCAGGATTTAAACCTGGATTTTAAATATTCCAACCCAAACCATTCCAGGGTTTTGGAGCTCTCGTGCCATGGAGACAGGCTGGGATTGTCCAACATGTGGAAAACTGGAATTGTCCAAGATTACAAAGCTGGGATTGTCCAAGATTTGGAACCACCTGGACTGGGAAGGTTCCCTGCCTATGGAACCAGGATTTAAACCTGGTTTTTAAACATCCTAACCCAAACAATTCCAGGTTTTCCCACCCAAACCATTCCAGGGTTTTGGAGCCTTTCTGCCATGGAGACAGCCTGGGATTGTCCAAGAATTTGGAACCACCTGGACTGGGAAGGTGTGAAGGTTCCCTGCCCATGGAACCTGGATGGGAATTTAAACCTGGTTTTTAAATATTCCAACCCAAATATTTCCAAGATTTTGGAGCCCCTCAGCCACAGAGACGGGCTGGGATTGTCCAACATTTGTAAAACTGGGATTGTCCAAGATTACAAACCTGGGATTGTCCAAGATTTGGAATCACCTGGTCTGTGAAGGTGTCCCTGCCCATGGAACCAGAATTTAAACCTGATTTTTAAATATTCCAACCCAAATATTTCCAAGGTTTTGAGCCCCTCAGCCAGAGACAGGCTGGGATTGTCCAAGATTTGAAAAGCTGGGATTGTCCAAGATTTGGAGCCCCCTGATCTGTGAAGGTTCCCTGCCCATGGAACCTGGATGGGAATTTAAACCTGGTTTTTAAATATTCCAACCCAAATATTTCCAAGATTTTGGAG